GAATTCTCTTATGTTTCATCCAAATGCTACACAATTTAAATATTTTTCTTTTTTGCTCTCTCCTATGTAGTTACCTTTAAAATACCTAAGAAAAATTCAGTTTTACTCATGGCCCTTCCTTCTTTCCTTCACTGAGATAAACTCTCTAATTTATTTAGCTTTTCTTCAGAGGTGTAACTATTTTATTCCATTTTATGATTTTCCCAGTTGGCAAGTTTTCTATTTACTCTAAAGTTGTTTTAGTCCATTTTGTGTTGCTATAACAGAATACCTGAGACGGGGTAATTTATAAAGAAAAGAAGTTTATTTGGCTTACGATTCTGGGACAGCTGCATCTGGCATGGGCCTCAGACTGCTTCTACTCATGGCAGAAAGTGGCAGGCAGCCGGTGAGTACAAGCAGATCACATGGCGAGAGGAAGCAAGAGAGAGGAAGCAAGAGAGAGAGAGAAGGTGCCAGGGTCTTTTTAAGCAATGAGCTCTCATGGGAACTAATCAAGCGAGAACTCACTCATTAATCCCCCTTTCCCCAGGGAGAGCATTAATCCATTCATGAAGGATCCGCCCCCATGACTCAATCAGTTTCCAACACTGCCACATTGGAGATAAATTTCCACATGAGTTTTGGAGGGGACAACATATCCAAACTCCATCATTCTGCCCCTGGCCCCCCAAAACTCATGTCACTGTCACATACAAAATACAATCATTCTATCCCAACAGTCCCAAAAGTCTTAGCTTGCTCGGGCACCAACTTAAAAGTCCAAAGTCTCCTCTGAGATCAAAAGCAAAAGTCCTTCCAGCTGTGAACCTGTAAAAGTCAAAACCAAATTTATCTACTGCCAAGATACAATGGTGGAACAGGCATTGGGTATACATTCCCATTCCAAAAGAGAGGAATAGGCCAGAAGAAAGGAAAAACAGGTCCCGAACAAGTCCGAAACCCAGCAGGGCAGGCATCAAATCTCAAGGCTGGAGAATCAGGTACCTTGATTCCATGTTCAACTGCCTCTGCACACTGGTGTGGGGGTTGGGTCTCCAAGTCCTTGGGCAGCTCCGCTCCTATGGCTTTCTTTGTCTCAGGCCACACTTCACCTCTCCCAGGCTCATGTTCCACTCTGGTAGCTGCTCCACAGGTCTGGGGTCTCCATGGCAATCCTGCTCTCACAGCTCCACTAGGCATGGCGCTGTTGGGGTTTCTCTGCTGCAATTCTTACCCCACATTTCTGCTCGGCATTGCTCTAGCAAAGGCTGTCTGCAGTGACTCCACCTCTGCGACAGATCTCTTCCTGGGCCCCCAGACTTTTCCATACATACTTTGAAATCTGGATGGAGGTTCCCAAGGCTTCCCGGCTCTGGCATTCTGTGAGCCTGCAGATCTAACACCACCTGGACACTGCCAAGACTTCCAGCTTGTACTTTTCAAAGCTGCAGGTCCAGCCACACCTGGGGCCAATTTAGCCACAGCTGGAGCAGCCAAAGCAGCTGGGGTGCTGGTGCTGGAAGCAGCTTCTCCAGGTGGCCCAGGGCAGCGAGCCCATGGAGGATGCCTCGGGCCTGTTTGCCAAGACCATTCTCTCTCTCTAGGCCTTTGGGCCTGAAATGGAAGGGTTAGCCCCTGAGGCTTCTGCAATGCCTTCAGGGCCTTTTCCTCCTTTTCTTGATAATCCCTTTCCTTTGTACTCATCTTCTTAGCTAATGGTCACTGGGCTACACCATTGCATGCTCTCTGCTTTTCTACCCTATGGCCGTGCTGCAAATTTTCCAAATCTTTATGCTCTGCTCCCGTTTTAAATTCTGGCTTTACATCATGCCTTTTCTGCCATAACTCAGCATAGGCTGTTCGAAATAACCATGCAGCGTCCTTAATGCTTTGCTGCTTGGAAATTTCTTCAACCAGATACTCTGGTTCACAACTCTTAAGTCCCACCTTCCACAAAGTCCAAGGGCATGGACACAATGCAGCCAAGTTCCTTGCTATGGTGTAGCAAGGGTTATCTTTTGTCCAATTCCCAATAAGTTCCTCATTTCTGAGACCTCATCATCCACAGGGCCTTTACTGCCCACATTTCTATCAGCATTCTGCTCACCACCACATAAGTCTCTAAGACATTCCAAACTTTCCCTTGTCTTTTTCTCATCTTCTAGGTCCTCCAAACTCCTCCAACCTTTGCCCATTACCCAGTTCCAAAGTTGCATCCACATTTTCAGGTATCTGTTTAGCAACACCCCACTCCTCGGTACCAATTTTCTGTTTTAGTCTGTTTTGTGTTGCTATAACAGAATAACTGAGACTGGGTAATTTATAAAGAAAAGAGGTTTATTTGGCTTACGATTCTGGGACAGCTGCATCTGGCATGGGCCTCAGACTGCTTCTACTCATGGCAGAAAGTGGCAGGCAGCTGGTGGGTACAAGCAGATCACATGGCGAGAGGAAGCAAGAGAGAGAGAAGGCGCCAGCATCTTCTTAAGCAACGAGCTTTCGTGGGAACTAATCGAGCGAAAACTCACTCATTAAGCCCCTTTCCCAGGGAGAGCATTAATCCATTCATGAGGGATCCGCCCCATGACTCAATCAGTTTCCAACACTGCCACACTGGAGATCAAATTTCCACATGAGTTTTGGAGGGGACAACATATCCAAATTCCATCATTCCAGAATCTGTCACGGTTCTCCAGAGTCACGGTTCTCCAGAGAGACAGAATCAATATGATGTGTTATAATTATATGAGAGGGATTTATTAGGGGAATTAGCTCACATGGCTATGAAGAAAAATCCCACAATAGGCCGTCTATAAACTAGATGCTGGTAGCATGGCTCAGTCCAAGTCCAAAGACCTCAGAACCAGGGAAGCTGATGGTGTCCTGGTGTAAGTTCTGGAACCCAAAAGCTGAAGAGTCTCAAGCTCTGATGTCCACAGACGGGAGAGAAGAGTGTACCCCAGCTCCAGCAGATTGAGAGAGAGCTTCACCTCTTTCCTCTGTCTTTTGTTCTCACTGAGGGTAGGTCTTTCACACCCAGGCCACTCAGACTCTCATACTAATCCCTACTAAAAACACCCTCATGGACACACCTGAAAAGATTGCTTTACCAGGTTTCTCAGCATTCCTTCATCTAACCAAGTTGACATCTAGAATTAACCTTCACAAAAGTTAAAAATCTTGTTATATTTCCCACTTTATACACTGCATTATTCCCTCTAAATGGGTTTTCTTCATACCTCAGGGTTCACACCCTAATTTTGCTTTATGTACCATATGGTGTACATCCACGTGAGCATCACAACTCATATCTCATTTTCTTTCTCCAGTTTGAGCATCTCCACATAACTATTCATTTTCATTATGTAATATCTCACCTCTGTCTAAATCACATACCACCAAAATCACACAAATTTCACTACGGTCTGTAGCCAAATTATCCTTTAACTCTATTACTTATAGAACTCTACCAGAACTAGGTATTTAAAGCACAAAACAAACTTTTTCCTTTGTTTCTGGTCACTCAACCAGAATGAACAATGGTTCCTTGGTACTGGTGGTACAACTTTGTTCATACATCCATATTACAGATATTAAAGTTTCCAAAGTATGAAGGGTACTGTGATAGGTTCTATAACCTCATAATCAACCAACTTTGCCATGTTTTATCTTTATCTCCACCTATTTAGAAATGCATGTCAGGCAACTATAAGTAAAAGTGTGAGAGGAGCAAGGGCCTATAGACATGGAGTAATGCTCCAAAGCTTTACTCTTTTCTGAGAGTCAGTCCAGCCTAAACCAGAAAAGGGGTGCCTCGAAAATGTCTATCTTTTATACTTCCCTGCTGATGATTTAAGAACTCATCTTTCAAAAAAATAAAAAAGAACTCATCTTTCTATTGCCCGTAGGTATCTAGCCAAGCAGACTTAATTACTAGTATCTATTGCTTTCTAATAGAGATTTCATATTTAACCCAAATTCTAAGTTTGCCATCCAAGAGGCTGAATGAGATAAAATGTCTCAGGTTGCAGATTTCCCGCTCTTAGTATAGTTACCATATGCCACATCAGCACTCTATTGCTCATACTTACACACACACTTTATAGAAAAGCAAATGAAACCATTATTATTCACCAACCTAGTTTTTAAGCTGTATTTTACTTGTGTAACAAAAATTTGAAGTCTGCTGTTTAAAAAATACGTGCATGGTTCACTTATATACCTTAAACAAAAGAACACTTAGAATAATTATTGGTTTTGCCTTCCTATAGATAATGTGGGCAGATCTGGGACATAGTGAAGAAAAAACACTTTATACTATATTCTCTCAGTAGATAGACACAAGACCAGGCCCAGAAAAAGAACTATTTATTTATTACCACAACAAAAATATCTTTTTTTTTTTTTTTTTTTTTTGGCTGGCTGGCAGGTACAGGGATCTGAACTCTGGACCTTGGTGTTATAAGGCTGTGCTCTGACCAACTGAGCTAACTAGCCAGCCCACATCTTTGTTTTTCTGATTTAAAAAGTAAAATTCCAAAATGTGTTCTTTAGCTCATAATTATTTATAAATTGAGACAATTATATAAACAATCTCCCAAGATATGTGGGAGGGAAAAAAAAGCAAGGGAGATTATAAACTTCAAAATAACTTAATTTCAAGTTCCTAGGAGCTGTTTTAGTATTTTTAAAAGAAGTATAGTTTGTATAATATTAGACATGAGGGAAAACCTGACTCAGCAATGTTTCCTGAATTCATTAAGCTAGTAATTTAGAGAAAAGGATTATTTAGGAAAGAGATCCTTTTTGTTGTTGTTTTTGGTGGCTGGCCAGTATGAGGATCCAAACCCCTGACCTTGGTGTTAAAACACCATACTCTAACCAACTGAGCCAACCAGCCAGCCCTAAACATCTATTTTTATGAAGTTAAAATTATATTTAATTATATTTTTACTGTTTTCCAACTCTAATTTCCTTTTTTTAACTTATAAAAGTAACCTATTTCATGGTAACCAATTCAAATAGGCATAAACAAAAGTAGAAGTATGAATCTTAACAACCTTGGATAAAAATCTATACTTACAGCTTTGAGGAGGTAGCATGGCTGTAAAGGATATCCACCAGGGGAGTCTCTTGAATGCTGAAGCCATCATCACACTCACCTGAAGGGGGCTGGTCTTCCATTTCTGACACATACCCTTCACCCTGGTCCTCCTCTTTGGATTCTTGCTGAGCTTCCTGCAGAGAATGCCAGAAAACATAGGAAACTTTAGAAAGAGATTTACTAACTGCATGATAACTTATTTGCATAGAGTAAATGAAGACTGTCCTTAAGGTGAGAAGCCAGTTACATAAAGCTATAAAAGAAATTAGAGAAAGCAAACTTAACTAGACTTAAGTCAATGAATATTTGGTAACAATCTTGCTGGAGAACTTTGACTCTGTATCCCTAACCCCAAAGTGAAAAAGCAGTGTTTACTCAATTCTAGTGGGATGCAGTACTCGTTAAAAACAATTACCATCTCTGGGCCGGCCTGTGGCTCACTCGGTAGAGTGCGGTGTTGATAACACCAAGGCCACGGGTTTGGATCCCATATATGGGATGGCCGGTTTGCTCACTGGCTGAGCGTGGTGCTGACAACACCAAGCCAAGGGTTGAGATCCCCTTACCGGTCATCTTTTTAAAAAAAAAAAAAAAAACAATTACCATCTCTGTATGGGTCAGCTGCCTAAATAAATAAATAAATAAATAAATATCATCATTATCACCTGTAGCCCTGAAGTTAATTACTCTAGCTGGTCAGATAATATTAGTAATGGTAATGGCATTCTAAATTTTACTGATAGCTTACTATAAGCCAGCCACTGTGCAAAATGCTTTACATGAATTGTCTCAAATAAACCTCACAGCAAACCTACAAAGTAGAGCACTATTATCCCATTTATAACGGAGAATACTGAGGTTCTAAAATGTTCACTAATATGCCTAAGGTCACACAGCTAAAACTGGTGCTAAAATCAGAACTGAACCTAGTAGTTTAACTCTCTGGAGTTCGCCTATGTGCTCTAACCACTCTGTTCTGCTTCCCTGTGCAGAAGGCCAACCAGACAGCTGATTTAAGTTATTCACTTACCACTTCACTCTCTGTGCATAGTCCCTGAACTGCACAAATATCTGAAGGAGCTGGAGCCTCCTCTGGCTTTCTATTTTCTCCCAGTAGCTTCTTTTCAGCTACTAAGGGGTCTACCTTGGCTGAAAGCTCTTCAGTCTCTATGCAGAGCTCTCCTTCTCCATCGGTAGCTTCAACTTCCCTTCCCTCTTCTTGCCCGGTACCAGATGGAGTATAGCAGCCTTCACTTGATTCTCTGCTGCCAATGCACAACGGCTGCATTAAATAAGCTACCTGCAATCAAAGTTTATTATTAAATGCACAGGAACACCAATGAATATCATCATCTACCCAGCAATGCCATATGCTTACAATGCCACATGCTTATACTCCTTTGTGACTAAGTCTGAGATGGCAAATAGGTTTAATTAATTCATTCAATTGTTTAAAATTTATCAAAAATCTTATATACACAGGCACTTTGCTAATTGCTGAGGACACTATAGTGAACAAGATAGATATGGTTCTTGCCTCCTCCAGGAGCTTATGTTCTAATTTTTCATCTCAAGTGTCAACTCTAATCAATTGAGTGGCTGTCTAGAAAAGTGGTGAAAATTTTGTCTGCCATAGACACTGCAGAAAGAAGTGGTAACATTTGAAGTGGATGCTTGCTGATAGTGACCTAGGTTCTCCTGAATGTGTTCAGTTACAGCATAAACTGTTTAATTCTGCTTAACCAGGGCAATAAGGACAGTTTAAAATACTGCCTTGAAGTCATGACATTTTAAGTGTTTTTTGCTTTTTTTTTGTCCTTTTTGTGACCGGCCGCACCGCACTCAGCCAGTGAGCGCTGTGAGCGCACCAGTCATCCCTATATAGGATCCGAACCCGCGGCGGGAGCGCCACTGCGCTCCCAGCGCCGCACTCTCCCGAGTGCGCCACGGGCTCGGCCCATGACATTTTAAGTTTTAAGGAGAGTTTGGGCATGTGTAACCTCCTACAACTCTGAAAGAATGAATTTCAAGGATACTCATAAGGCAGTCTTATACATAGAAATTCTACTCCCGGGCCAGCCTGTGGCTCACTTGGGAGAGTGCGGTGCTGATAACACTAAGGCCACGGGTTCGGATCCCATATAGGGATGGCTGGTTGGCTCACTGGGTGAGCATCTTGCTGACACCACCAAGTCAAGGGTTAAGATCCCCTTACCAGTCATCTTTTAAAAAAAAAAAAAAAGAAAGAAATTCTACTCCCTGACTCAGGCCCCTAATGACTGGGGTCTTAGTACATTCAGTCAGAAAGTATTTATTTGGTGCATATTCTGTATCAACACATACATAATCTGGAGACACAGCAATGAACGTAGTCCCTAACACTATGGAACTTAACATTTTAGTACACAATATTAAGAGTAGTAGAAGCATGCAAGGGTAAGCGTCCTTTCAGAAAGTTGAGACTCTTCCAGCTTTGGAAATAATAGTACACTATTACCTCAGAGAGAAAGTGGAGGAGGTTCTGGTGGCTGATTTGCTCTGCTTCTTCCTGAGACTCCTCACTGCCTCTGTCCCCCACAAGCAGCTCACTAGGTTCTCTCCCTGGGCTGCTTTCCTCTAGGTCTTCAGCCCCTGGATCCTCAGTTTCCCTCCAGCTGCCCACATCAAGATCCAGACTGGAGTCCCATGAGCTGAAGAGGGACCTGCAGTCATTGCTCAACTCTGAGTCATTGGGATACTCTTGTTCAGAATCCAGCCAAGCCCACTCATGCCCCATCTGTAAATACACAGAAATCAAATGCATTAAATTCATTCAAATCAATATTCCTAAGGAATCTCCATCTTCCAAGTTCAGTTGAAATATAAGGAGCCAGAAATTTCTTTCTACTCATTACTAGCAAGAGTAAAAACTACCTGAAAGGAGACATTAAGAGATAAAATGATTTCTTAAAAAAAAAGGGGGGGGGGGCGGGCCAGCCTGTGGCTCACTCAGGAGAGTGCGGTGCTGATAACACCAAGGCCACGGGTTCAGATCCTATATAGAGATGGCCAGTTCGTTCACTGGCTGAGCGTGGTGCTGACAACACCAAGTCAAGGTTTAAGATCCCCTTACAGGTCATCTTTATAGAAGAAAAAAAGAGATAAGATGATTTCTATCTTTGGGAATAAAGAAAAATCACCATGTCAGTATACAGTATAATAGAGATATTACCCAATAATTATTTTCACTTGGATATCCTCTTACTCCAAAAGAAGGGAAAGAACTGGAGTATAACAGGATACCTTAACCAAGATAGCTTCCTCTATCCCAAATTACCCATAAAAACTCAACTGCAAGGCAATAGACTTGAGGGGTTGGGGGTATTTTCCCCAGCATATACACATTTTTAACCTATTAACTACAGTATCCTGGTTTTCTTACACCTTTGTCTTCTCTCTTTCATAACTTTCAACAAATCCTTGCCTTCAATGTTCTTGCTTGGTCCTCTGCTTCCTTATTAATACTTCCTTTTTTTAAAAAAGCATATATACTTTGAGGTTTCAACTTTGACTTCTATTCAGGTGGCTCACAAATCTCTCCACATTTACCTCTTACATGCATTCTTATTTCTCCGTGCATCCAAAAATCAATTCCCTTTAGATGTCCTACCATCTGCTTCAACTTTTCTAAAACTAAAATCACTTTTGTTCCTGTTTCCAAAATCATCCCAATTTCCTTATCCCTGTCACCAACACTATTTTTTTAATCTACAGAACTCAATTCTGTTTTGGCCCTTTCTTCAAATCAGTCAGTCCTCTTCCCAATTTTCTTCCACAATCATTTTTGTGTCCATCCTTTGATCATGAACAAATGCCATGCTCTCCTGGTCAGTTTCTCTACCTTTAATCCGATCTGTTCTCAATAAATATCGTCTCCCTATTCAAGGCTTTAGAATAGCTATCACCTCAAATACAGATTTCTCAGTCTGCTGTTCAAAGTCCTCCATAAGGGCCGGTCCGTGGCTCATTTGGTAGAATGTGGTGCTGATAACACCAAGGCCCCGGGTTCGGATCCTATATAGGGATCGCCGGTTAGCTCACTGGTTGAGCATGGTGCTGACAACACCAAGCCAAGGGTTAAGATCTCCTTACCAATCATCTTTTATCAAAAAAACAAAGTCCTCCATAAATTAGCCCTCTTTTGTCCCCTTGACTGGTACCTATATCTCACTATTCCTGAGTATGATACCTATTCTCATCACATTTGTCTCTTTACTGTCCCCACCAGATTCTTAACACCTTCAACTCGACTTACTAAGCTCCTCTATCACTTTCTCCAGCAATCTAAAATCAATATCCTTTAAGGTACCTTTACCACAAACTTCTCCAACTTTTAGTACTTCAGTGCTTATATCACATACGTGCTTATGAATTGCTTTGGGACTATAAGTATTTCATTTCCTAACTCCTAGACTGATTGAATTCCTTTCCTTCACCTCACAAAGACTGTATCTTCTACTTCCTTAGCATCCTAACAAGCTTTATAAATAGTTCCACCTAAGGCAAAAAGATCTGTGACTTCTAATCACATCCTTCTCAAGAAACCCATCTTTCTCAAGAAGGATTAAGAGGTTCTAGACACCACCCTATTAATCTTCATCTCTTTATAATAAAAGGCTCATAACTAGTTCATTTCACTAATGATCTAAAAGTTTTTAGTTATTTATTAACAGAAGTTAGAATAGAACTCAGGATTAATTTCATAATTCTTAAACTGAGTTTAGCTTTCAAATAGCAATGTTAAAAACTCTTTTATACACAAGAGTCCTACCCACGGAAAAAGATAGGAAGGAAATGGTAATACACTATCCTAGAAATACCACCTGCAAAGAGAGTGTTAAGCGGGACATACGTTCTTGAGATAAAGGTCAATGCTTCCTGTGTCCATGCTCTAATCTTCTTTAAGCAATGCCATGAATACAACTCTAAAAAACTTGTTTTCCCAAACATTCAAGAAAAGCTGAATAAGTTAATCCTTATTGCACAATGCAACTCTTTAAAACATAAATTATAAATTCAATCTTGGTTACTTACGTTCTCTCAGCTGAAGCAGGCAGTTCATATTACAAGACCACTTTTCCCCTCTAACAATCTCATTCCCACAAATGATGAAACAGTTACCATGCAGAAGAAACCACAAGTTTCAAATATACCACAAAATAACACACCAAACACTAAAGTTTTCTTTTAGTTTATTGTATATACACACACACACATACACATCACAGGTTTTTTTAAAAAAGTCTGTACACTCCACAAGACAGTACAAACTAGCTACAATCTGCTAGCTACACATTAGGACATTACACAGCCCACGATTTTTGCCCTAAAACAGGCAACTGTGCTACTCCAACTCTCTGAGAGAGATTTTCCCAGTTCATTTCATATGGCCCCGGCACCTCCTCTTCTTTAACTTCCACTTCTGGTACTGGGCCCACAAGCCCAATCTCTATCTTGTTTACTTCTATTTCAGGTTCAGCTCAAAGAGGGTACTCTGAGACTTCACTTTTTCATCTTCATATCTGCTTCAATGGCACAGCGGCGTCCCCTGGTTCCCCCATCCTAAATGACAGGCAGAGAAGGAAAGGAGCGTGAGTGAGTTGGTTAGGAAGTAAGAGAAAAGGTGTAACAGGAATGCTGGAGATTTGGTTTCTTGGGGGAAAGGGGAGAAAATCAGCAGAAAAATCCAGAGGGATGAGGGGTGTATTTCTGTCTTCCCACAGAGTGGCTAAAGAACACCTGGTAGTTTGTGAGAGTAATGTAATGCAATATCTTGCTCATGCCCACCAGAAAGGTCCCTGGAATTCACCTGGGTTCCCACAGAATGACTATTAGTCATCCCACCCAGGCCCAAATCTTGAGCAAAGGAACAGGAGAATAAAAGAAAGGTGGGAGAGTCAGAAAGGGCAGTGGATAGTGAGGTTCTTGGCTAACATACCTGTCCAGCTGTTGGTCCCTATAAGAAAGGCCTTTCCTTCAGACTGACCCTGGCACTAGTTCCCTAGCACCTCCTGATAGTTGTTTTCCATGAGATCAGGACAATCAGGCTTCTTTCCATTTGCTGCTCTCTCCCTGCAGCCCAGCTCCTTCCTCTTGTGCATTATTTTGCTGTCTTCAATAGATAAAAGATTCTATTAATCAGCCTTGCAATAGCCAGCCAATTGCTTGGGGATCCAGAGTCACTGTTGCAGGCCAATAAGAAAGAATGGAGATTACAGTGTTCTGTGGTACAGGCTAAGAGGCCTGTAGGCAAGATGAACTAGTGAACACTTTTGCTGGGCCAGGCCATTTTCACATTTCTAATAAGCAAGGACTCGAAAATTTTTAGAGCTCATGAACGTAAGTTGCCTATGAGGCAAGAGAATGAATAAGAATACCATCCTGTATAACACTTTTTTTTTCCAAGCCAGTTAAATAACTATTATTTCATTTTATCCTCACAACATCCCTGTGAGGTAGGCTGGACAGGTACCTCATTATGTTAGCTCCATCACACAGATGAGGGAAATAAGGCCCCAAGACATTATCTGATGACTTTAAGACCATGTAGTTTTCTAGCCCAATGCCCCTTCCATTACATCATGTCTCACTGCCCCATAATGAAAACATAAATAGTCATTTAATTCACAGAGGAAAAGAATAGTCTTTAGGCTAGCTCTACTACACTTATCTGTAATTCTGCCAGCCACTACTGTACGCAGTGGTCATTGTCACTGAGATCTTTAACTTAACTTTACTACTGGTGTATCAGACATTAGTCTTGCAACTTTATTTTAGGAGAAAAGAGAAGAACTATGTGCTGAGTCTCTGCCAGTATGAGGAACACTGTTAAAAAGCCAGCTAGAAGCTGCTGCTCTGAGCAATCTTCTGTTTGTAAGAAAAGAATTGGTAAAAGGCGGAGTCAAGAAATAAGGAGTAGGTGCATCCTAGATCCTTTACCCCACGAATACTTCATTTTAGCCCAGTAATCTCATAAACATTCCCTACCCAGCCCACACACACACACATGCAGAAAGACAGGAATGCAGAAGAAAAGACAGTTTCTTTTTCAATGACCTGAATAAACAGAAGTTAAAGACATTGCCACAGTCTACATGTTGGATTTCCCTCTGCCACCCACCCCCAGCAGGAGCTAAGAATCTTTGTGGCAACACCACCCCTTGCGGCCATTCAATACTTACAAAGAGAGAGAGAAGGAAGGCAGGAGAGCCCATGGGGACACTGTCCTGTTAGAGGACAAACAAACACTGATCAGGATCCACAGAAACTCTCAGCTGCAAGCACCCCAAACCTCAGGACAGAGACACAAGCACCATACACACCAAGACAAAATTTAAAAACTCAAGAAGAGGAAAGAGATTCTAAAAGCAATCTGGCCATTATGCCTCTGGAACAGGAACTGATGGTCTCCAATACCGCAAACTAAGTCATTTCCCCCATCTTGAGAGCATTCTCGCAGAGGAATTAATAACTCACTCACTCAGCTCAGAATTTCTCTCATGTGACCAGGACCCTAAGTCACAACAGGTTTCTTCAATGTTTGGATGGGAGCAAACAACCACCATTCTAAGATCTATGTGTCTATATATCATTGGAATATGGAAGCTCAGCAATACCAAGTAGTAACATAAAGTTACTTGGATGCTTCAGACTTCTAGCAATGGAATACTAGTACATAGGCTCTTTCCTGGTCTCCTCACCTTCTCTGAAGCATCCTGTTTGCGGGTAGAATCTCTTCCTCGAAGACTTTTAGCACTGATCCCAGACTCAGATGTTTGCATAATCAACTGTGTGGCC